TCTCCAATATTAAGCAAGCCTGTTATAACATCTCCTAATCATCATAATTCAAATTTATTAAGCTCTTTAAATCGAAGAGATCGAAAACGATCGCATCCACATTCTTCTATGAATATACCTTTTCAGGTATATTAATTACGATTCTAATTTTTTGTTTTTCATATTAAAAATTAAATGTACATAATTATATTGTTTTTTAAGAGCGCGGATTCTAGTTCAAATACCTCGAGCTGCAACAGCTCAACGCCTTCTAGTCCAGCTTTGCTACCTGCCAATACTAGCCAAACTCCACAAGCACCTGCCAAACAACAGTTTCATTTTCCAGGTAATCTTTTTATAGCATATTTTACTGTGATAAATGATATTGAAATTCATAATATTTTACTTTTAAATTTTTAGATGTTGTGCTCAATGAGAAAGGTGTTACATTAGAGACTCATCAACTCGAAGGTACAACTATGTCAAGTGATAGTGAAAGAACGGTGAGCGTTTCAGGATCTGGTAGTGTTAGCACAGATTCTGAACGAACACCTGTTAGAGTTGATTCACAAGATTCTCAAGTCTCTGATGGAGAACCAGGAGATAGTCGTTGGCCTCGACAAAATAGTGTATGTAATTTATATAATTTATGTTTACAATGTTATTAAAATAATATTTAAAATAATTTAATATTATAGTTATCTATGCGAGAATGGGACATTCCTTATGATGAATTAAAAATTGGAGAACCTATTGGTACTGGAAGATTTGGTACAGTGTATAGAGGTTACTGGCATGGTAATGTTGCTATTAAAGTCTTAAATATGGACTATTATTTAGATGATGACAAAATATTGGAAGCATTCAAATTGGAGGTATATATAAATAAATATATATTATAATATTTTATATAATTAATAGTATATTTAAAGATATAATGAATTATTTTCAAATTTGAATATATTTGAAATGTATATTTATAATATAATTTAATTATTTATTTATTTATTTTGCATATAAATATTTTTATTTTATAATAATATTTTATAAATTATTATAATATAATGTAAATGTTGAAAAATATTGCATGAAATAATTTAAAATTATTTTATTGTTGAAATTGATTTGCATTCATATTATTTAAACTTATAGGTGGCTACATTCCGAAAAACTAGACACGAAAATCTAGTTTTATTCATGGGAGCTTGCATGAAACCTCCACGCTTGGCAATAGTGACTAGTATGAGTAAAGGAATGACTCTCTACACTCATATTCATTTACGTAAAGATAAATTTAATATAAATAAAACTACCGTCATCGCTCAACAGATTTCTCAGGTATATTTTTATATAACTTTCGATATTTTAATACATTTTAATGTGACTTTTTATTTAGGGAATGGGATATCTTCATGCTCGTGGTATAATTCATAAAGATCTCAAAAGTAAAAACATATTTTTAGAAAGCGGAAAAGTTGTAATTACGGATTTCGGTTTATTTAGTGTTACAAAACTTTGTTATGGAAATAGGTAAATATATTTTGTTTATTATATTATATTATATTTAGTTATATTTGATAAAATATAATTATGATTTTATATTTATTGGTTTTATTTATAAACAGAAAAGGAAATGCATTGAGTATACCACCTGGCTGGTTATGTTATTTAGCTCCTGAAATTGTTCGACGATTGAGACCGCAACAAAATCGAGATCAGGAAGAATTACCTTTTACTGAAGCTTCTGACATTTATGCATTCGGGTTAATATAAAAAAAATAATATAAAATATAATTTTAAAAATCACTTTTTTGTAAACTTATTAAAAAATTATTATAGAACTGTATGGTATGAGCTTTTATGTGGAGAATGGCCATTTAAAGGACAACCTCCTGAAGCAATCATATGGCAAGTTGGCAAAGGAATGAAACAAACTTTAGCTAATTTACAAGCTTCTCGTGATGTAAAGGTACAAAGTATAATAAAAAATTATTTTATATTTATTTTTTAACTTTTTACAAAATAATTTTAATTAATTATGATAATTTTTCTTATTAATTCCTTTACATATTTCTAGGACATCTTAATGCTTTGCTGGTCATACCACGCAGAAAATCGGCCCGATTTTGCAAAATTGTTAACTACAATTGCAAAATTGCAAAATTGTTTAGAAAAGTTGCCTCGCAAAAGGTTAGCACGTAGTCCTTCCCATCCTATACATCTTTCTCGTTCTGCAGAATCCGTGTTTTGAATACATTTAAGTCTATTTAAATACACTGTTGTTCTCGTAGTGTAAATATAGAACTGTGCAAATATTGCCAGATCTTTGTTCGTGAAAGATAAAATAAAAATAATCACTGAAAGTTTCATTCGTATATCCTTCATTTAGGTTAATAAAACATCATTAAAGTAAACATGAAAAAAAATTAATGAAGTTTTATTTCTTATATAATACTACAGTTTTTGCAATGCAGAATATTGTTTCATTTTCTATAATAATAAATAATACGAAAACTAAACGGGAATTCATTATTATACAGTAAAAAAAAATTCAACTTAATGTACTTATACACACGAAAAAAAAAAATAGAGAAACATTGTCTTTAATTACAACAAATTTTCATCAATTATATATTTTTTGTAGTTCTTGTAGCTGCCTTCGAAGATATGCAGCACGTAATTTATTTAAAGTTATCCTTTTCTTAAACATTAATACCAAAGGCTTAGTAATTATATCTGTTATATGAACTAATGTTCGTGTTCTCACTGTAATTAATAATTGAATTAATTTTTTGTTATATTAAATAAAACTTTCAAATATTAAAATAAATAAACTAACCAGCATTATTGTGTATGCTGGCAAGAATATCTTGTTGATCTTTATATGTTTCTGCCATCTCTTCTTCTTCTTGTACCAATAATTTTAACAAATTTGTCATTGTCTAAAAAATATATAGAAATTATAATTGAAATTTAATTACAGATAATTCTAATTATCTATGAACTTACTTTTAGACAAGTATTTGATATTATTGGTGTATGTATAATTTCTAATGGAATTTCTGTTAATTTCTCATTATGAGATTGAAAACAAATTAAAGAAATTTCTTGCTCCTATAAAATATTTCATTTAAAAAATTGAAAATATAATAATATTAAAATTATTATTTATTTATTGTTTACCTTAGATTCTTTACTTTCTGAAAATACTGAAAATATTAAACCTACAAAACCATGATCCATTGTCTGGTAATTTGTTTGAGTCCTAATATCTAAAGATAAATTTTTTAGATTAAAATGATGTTTTATAATTTGCTTTTACAAAAATATATATATACTGACCAAGATGTGATGGCCAAACTGTAATATGAGGATGAGAATGATACCATCCAAGAATACGTACAGGACGTTTTAATTCTTCACTTAAACGATCTGCTTCACCAACAGCTTTTAATAATTGTTCAGTTGAAATTTCTACTCTGTCTTTTTTTTATCCAAATGTCTTAAAATAATGACTGCTACTATTCTTGCAACATTATCTTCTGTCTAACATAAATTATTAATAAAATAATAAATGTTTTTTTATACATATAAAAAATTACATTAAACAATAAATATATTCAAAAACATACATCCCCAATTAATAATCCCATTACTTCAAATTTTTCTGTTGACAAGGCATGCTGCAAGCATACCATGTATACATCAGTCTGTAATTCTACCTTTGCTAATGTAAATGTAGCCATTATATAAATTTTAAATTCAAGTATAATTCAATGTTTGTAATATAAATGTAATTATTAGAACCTGTAATTATATTATTTAATAAATTTAAAGTATTAGTTTTCGTATCAATAAAAAAAATATATTATCTTTACTTCTTGTTTTACTTAAAAATCTGAATTTTATATATATAATAATAAATAAGCGAAAAAAGATAAAAGTAACCTTTAATATTATGTGAACCAAATTTAGGATAAATGTAAAATCAATTGTTGTTCAGATTGTTCTTACACTTTTATTTTCAATTATTTGTTCAACAAATTCATGAAATAATGATTATTTTATTAATGCTAAAAATCATCAAAAGTTTAAAAATCATTAAAACGTATGAATTATGCATATGTGTGTGCGTGCATATGTGTGTGCGTGTGTGTGTGCGCGCGCGCGTGTGTACTTTTTATGAGTGGAAATACAAATTTGTTTAAATTGTTGTAATTTTTTTTATTGTATTTTTACGTATTATTATGCAAATTATATTTCATAAAATATAATATTCAAACCAACTTCATCATCAATTATGCACCAATGTACACTTATTATTGTAGATAAAATCCTCGTTTACATCTAGAATACAATATCATAATGATTTAATCAAGATAGGTGGCGTTAAAAGATTTTTTTTTAGTAAAAATCATATTTATTATACTTATATAAATAATAAATATATATATATCACAAATTTATAGATCATATATTTTAAAATCAAATAATATTTGATAAATATGTTTAAAAACTAAAAAAAAATAAAAAAACTATTTACAGAAATATTTTTAAACAACATGAAATTATTTTAGCTATTTAAATAAAGAAAATCTATAATAAAAATATATAAAAAAATATTTCATTTGTTAATTGAAACTTGCAATTCAATATAAATGTATCATTTATATATTTTATCTATTTTTTATTAAAAATTTTAATTTATTATTAATATAAAAATAACTATAAATTTTATTGATAAAAATATTTTTTTTATTTTTTTTATAAATAGTTTATTTTTCTTTTAATATTGAATGTACGGATTGATATTTTTTCCAAAAATGGTCAAATTTAAAAAAAAATATATTAAATATAAAAATAATCCTTGATATAAATCATATTATATATAATATATTATTATATATATTTTATGTATTGCATGCATAAAAAAATATAAAAAAATATTCAAATTTTATATTCGTTTAAACAATCCAAAAAGAATTTAACAGAATTAGATGTTTCCTACACTGCTTACCATTAGACTTACAGATTACTTTACTTCATGGCGAATCAAGATTCATAACAATATCGAATTCTTCTTGACAAATTTTTAAAAGTACTTGAAAAGCATTTTGTGTATGTTGGATTAATTAATAAGCAACGATAATTAATGATGAATACATTTTGGAAATAACGTTTTGTTAAATCAGTTAAATAGTTAAATAATACCGCTCAAGATGAAATGTCGGAAATGTGCATAACTTTTAAAGCTAGTAATACATACAACGATCAATAACTCTTAATTAATTTTTCATTAATAAATGACTGACAGAATGGCTAGTAGAGAAACATCAATTAATTCAAAAAATTCGGATGATCATAGTGTAGAGGTTTGTAAATTTGCAATATAATGTTCTAAATTTTTGTAATTGTTTTTAACAATATTATACTTTAAGTTACATACTTTTTTTATTAAATGGAACTATAAAAATAATGAAATATAATATTTTAATTCAATATATCAAATTTAATATTTTACTTATAATATTTTAAAAAAAATTATTAAATTACACCATAACTATTACAAATTTTTATTGATTGATTATTAGATTATATATAATATTATATATATATATATATATATGTGTATATTATTATATATATAATTATATTATATATATATATAATTTAATTTTTATTTTAGACATTAGCAGAAGTCTTCAGATGTTTTATTTGTATGGAAAAATTGACAGATGCACATCTTTGTCCTCATTGCAGTAAATTATGTTGCTACACATGTATCAGAAGATGGTTAACAGAACAACGTTCTCAATGTCCTCATTGTAGAGCTTCTTTACTTTTACATGAATTAGTAAATTGTAGATGGGTTGAAGAAGTAACACAACAACTTGACACACTTCAAGCTGTTGGTATTTCAAATTCTAGACACGATGATTCCAGTAGAGATAGGTATATTTTATTTATAATATAAAAATATTTAAACTTATGTTTATTTTAATTATTATTAATATGTCTTTTTAAACAGGTGTACTGTGCACCGTGAAAAACTGTCTGTTTATTGCTGGACTTGTCGTAGATGTATATGTCATCAGTGTGCTCTTTGGGGTGGCACCCATTCAGGACATACTTTTAAACCATTAGAAGAAGTTTATGAACAACATGTTACACAAATAAAAGCAGAAGTAGGTCAATTAAAAAGAAGATTGATGGAGTTAATAAGCCTTGTTCAAGAAGTAGTATGTGTGAATTTTAAATAGAATATTAAATATTTTAAGGAAAATCAAAATATTATTTTATATCTGATTTTTCACATTAGGAACGAAATGTAGAATCTGTAAGAGCTGCAAAAGATGAAAGAGTTAGAGAAATCAGAAATGCAGTAGAATTAATGATAGCACGTTTAGATTCTCAGTTAAAAGCTAAATTATTAACATTAATGAGTCAGAAAAACTCTTTGACACTAGAAACAGAACAACTGGAAGCATTATTGCAAGAAGTAGAGCATCAATTGCACACTTGTACTCGTTCTGAACTTATAATTAAAAGTGCAGATCTTTCGCGAATGATACATCAAGTACGGAAGAAACCAATGACTAGTTTTGTTACTGCTCCTGTTCCAGCAGATTTTCATAGGTATTTTCAATATATATTTAGTTACAAAAAAAGTATCCCATAATTTTATATCTCTTTATATAATTATATTTCTTATAATTATTTTAGCGAAATTGTTCCGGGATATGATAGCGCTACATTTGCAATGCAAAATTTTACACAATTACAATTAAAAGCAGATCCAGTATATTCTGCACCTTTACATGTTAATGGATTATGCTGGAGATTAAAAGTATATCCTGATGGAAACGGTGTTGTACGCGGGAATTATTTATCTGTTTTTCTAGAACTGAGCGCTGGTTTGCCAGAAACGTCGAAGTATGTAGAAATAATTTCATTTTTAATCATTTTATTCAAAAATAATTCTTTTCAGATATGAATATAGAGTAGAAATGATTCACCAAGGATCTCGTGATACAAGTAAGAATATTGTTCGAGAATTTGCTTCTGATTTCGAAATTGGTGAATGCTGGGGATACAATAGATTTTTCAGATTAGATTTGCTTGCAACTGAAGGATATTTAAATACCGAATTGGATACTCTTATATTGCGGTTTGTTTTATTTTCATTGATGTGTAATAATAATATCATATAATAAATTCATATAATAATATATATAAATCCATAATAATAATAATAATATTTAAGTATAATATAAAAATAAATAATAGGTTTCAAGTACGTCCACCAACATTTTATCAGCGTTGCAGAGATCAACAATGGTATATCAGTCAATTACTTACAGTTCAAAATCAATATGCCACTCAAATTAATGAATTAAAAGAGGTAATATACGAATTTAAAATATTTAATTATATATTATATTCATATATAAATTATATCATTTTTTTTATAGAGACTAGCAATTGAAATATCACGAAATGCTATGGCAGCAACTCGAGTACCTAGTGGAGCAACTTTATGTGGATCTACATCAAATGTGACACCTATGATTATGCAACAACAATCACAAACTGCTGGTGATTCGTTACTTAACTCCAATTCTACTCGTTCAGGTGAAACATATCAAAATAGCACATCCACAAGGTACATTAATTTTTTTTTCAAAATGATATTTTTAGAAAAAAAAAAAATATTTTACATTTCAAATCTTATGTAATTTTTAGTAGATCAATACAAAATGTACTTCCTGGTGGAAGTAATAGTGATGTTTTATCTGGAGATCAATTAATGCCTATGTGTGAATTAGGAGAACCTTCAAATATGCGTCCTCTTGGTTCTTCTTCGACGTTATCTTCTATTTCATCGAAAACAAGTTTAAAACAGCACAGAGTAAATAATTTAAGTGTCGTTGAAGCTGAACCACCTAATATGCATAGTACAAATGATAGTTCTGTGGGAGATTGTCCAGCTACAAGTGCTCATTCTCCACCTCCTTCATATTCTTCACCAACAGTTAATCAACAACAACTTAATCAACAATTGAATCTTTTGTCTAGTAGCAGCAGTAGCGATAGTGGAGTAAGATATTTAAATAAATTAAAATCAATATAATTAAATATATTCATGTTGGATTTTAATTTTGATTGATTTATTTAGTACTGATAATTTATGTTTATTACAGGAATTAAGTGAACATGATATATATTTGGATGAATGCGAGCATAACGAACCACATCTAACACTTCTGGATGACAATTCTAATGATGAAAATGATGTAGATGATGAAACAATGTCAGGTATGACATAAATCTTTTATTATTATTTTATTAAATGTAATAATTTATAATATTAAATTATTCAAGCAAGTTATATAAATTCCTTTTTATATATTATTTTATTATATAACATAATATAATGCAATAATATACTGAATTAGGTACAAGTTCAAACAGAGGTTCTATAGATAATGTGCAGAGACAACGAGAAAACAAGTTAGATAAAGGTGTTGAAAATGAAAAGCCTACGAATGAGAAACCAGATGAAGATTTTATGAAAGAAAATCCTACTTCCCATACTCCTAATCATTTTCAAGCAGTTTTATAAGAAATTATCTGTCTTTTTTCAAATTAATCTCCGTCCTTTTATGTTTCATTTTATAACGAAAAATAAATATTCTTATATATGTACTATGATATTCAAGTTGACAGAAATTGATCTTAATTTACTTATATTGCTCGTGTTATTTTACATGAAATAATTTTTATAAATATCGTACATTTTGAGTTATTTATAATATTTTTTAGTTACAGTATAATTAATATATTTATTAATTAATAAAAATATATTTGTGATATTGTCGTATTTGCAGGAGAAAACGATGTAGAAGTTGCCGAATCATTATCAGCATGGATTCAGAATAAACAATGTACAAAACAACAGAATAATCGAGAAAATACAGGAGATATTTGGAGGTATATTATTGAAAATAAAATTTTACTATAATTATAATTTATAAAATTAATAATTTAATTTTATTATAAATAGATTAGGAGGTACTGATAGTTTGGAAGATGAGATTATGTTGCAGTTATTTGAAATGCAAGATCGAAATTCTGCTTGGACTTCATTATGTTTTAATCAACCTGTAGATGATACTTGTAATTCAAGAACATCTTTAACGACTTTACAACATCATAATTCCAATCCTTTACAACCAGAACATGATTCAACATGTAATGAACAATTTACTGACAAACGTTCCACCTGTCCTTCACATCTCTGTCAACCTCAAATAATATGTAGTGGTAGATCAAAATTAAGTCAATTATCCAATATTTGTCAGCAAGAATTTCTGGATTAATAGCTTGTGGAAGTCAAACAAGATCTGAACCTGCAACTCGTTCAAATTCAATAGACTGTGAAAAGGAACTTCCAAAGATATCTATGATTAATAAAGTTAATCACGAAATAGAAATATCTAGATCTAATTTGATAGTGCCAAATGGTAAGTAAATTAAAAATTATATATATATATATATATATATAA